TTCTCCTTCTCCTGAGCTCCTGTCGCGTCGATTGGAAAATGAACAAGTGAGAGAGCTAGAGAGAGAGTGTGTGTGTGTGGTGCTTTGCGTGTGTTGTTCTGTTGATGTGAGTGCTAAGTTACTGAGTGAGTTGCGGGGGCGTGGGTGTCAGTTGCCACAACTGGAAAGTCGCCCACAAAGTGCCACACCCACACGTCCAAATAAGCATCTAACACAAAAAAAAAACACACACACAAAACGGAAACACTTCTTTCGCCTCTAACTTTCGTCAACAATGAAATGGTTTTTGTGTGGACCAGTTGAAAAAGGTTCCCGCCCACCACCCTCCGCCGTTTGACGTGTAAACGCACTCACATTCGAGCTCATCCCCTTCTTGACCCCCACCTTTGAACATCATCAAACTGCACACTTTTGAGTTGAGCCAGCAGGTCAGTGCTGTTGGTGTGTGTGAGTGTGTGTGTGTGTGTGTGTGTGTCTGTGCGTGTGTGTGTGTGTCACTCACTCACTCACTCTCCTCCGCTCTCTCACACTCACTCTCCTTCACTCCCACACACTCTCTCACACTCACTCTCACTCTCACTCGCTCTCTCACTCACTCTCTGTCTCTCACTCACTCACTCACTCACACAAACACACTCACTCTCTGTCACACACACACACACTCTCTCTCTGCCCCTGTGCACGCACACCTGTCTCTGCCACTGTCCTCGTGCCTCACCTCCTCCGCACTGTCAACATTGGAATCTCTGCCCATACTAACTGCGTGCGTTTGCATGCTCTCTTCTGCAGGGCAGTGATCTCTGTTCTCATGACGATGCAGCGAACTGCAGAGGCGGCACACCAAGCAACCCAGCGGCGCATCTCGCAGATGCTCTAGCAGGCATATGTGAACTTGAAACCGGGAACCATGTTCAAGAGCAAGGATGGCGTGTTACGTGCTGTCACAGCCGTCGCTGTGTTCCATGGATGCAACCACTATGTGAGTGCCTTACCTCGGTGCATGCGTATGCGCCCACGTCCTGTGTTTGTACGTGCTTGCATGCAAGCAAGGAAGCACGCGCGTCCACTCACTCTGTCTGCCTTTCTGTCTCTCTCTATACTCACACACACCACACACACTCACTCTCATTCTCTGTCTCTCTGTCGCTCTGTTTCTCCTGTCACTCACTCTCTCACTCAATAACTCTCTCCCACACACACGCTCACTCTGTCTCTGTCGCTCTCCCACATACACACACACTTTCTCTCTATCACCCTCTCACCCACACACTCTCTGTCTGTCTCTCTCTCCCACACACACTCTCTCCGTCTACAATTCTCCTTCATCCCCTCTTCTTTTCTCTTCCATGCACGCAGGTGTACGCTTCGGACACTTTCGCCATTCGTGTCATCTGCAGCAACGAGAA